GCACCAGGTCCGCACCCCATCACACCCACCCTCGCACGGCTCACTGGCTCCCCATCCCTCAGACGATCGAGTTAAAAATTCTCGTCCTCACCTTCAAAGCCCTCCACGACCTTGCCCCCTAATGGTTAGCACCTCTCCGACCTGCTAACCACTTATTAACCTGTCCGCTCCCTCGGCTCCGGCCTGCTCCATGTCCCCCACCCGGCCCACCATCGGTGGTTGGGCCTTCAGCCTCTCGTGCCCCCACCCCACATTCCCTTTGCCTCACTCCCTCCTTTGCCTCCTTAAAGGCACACCTCAAGACCATCCTCTTCGACAGTGCCTTCGGCTACCCTCCTCTCTGCCCTCCACCCTCCCTGATCCCAAACTCCCACAACCCACCCCCCCACCCGCTCGGGTCCTAATCCCTCACTGTTCAGCACCTTGGGACGTCCTCCCGACATGAAAGACACTTTACAAATGTTATTGTATTGTAATACTAAAAAATGCCTACCAGATAGCTAAGATAACTTTGTGACCAATCTAATGTTACAGCAACAAGATCCTGCTCCTTTTAACCTAAGTCTTCTCTACCCTGGAATCCCCAGAGGCATGAAATTCTGTGTGGCCAGAACAATTGTGCCTGAAAATATAACATTGTGCAAAATTATGAACTTAAGTCGTCAACCAGAGAGCCATTTCTCTCAATCTCCTCACCCCCACACACCCCCACTCCCCGCAGTCCTTGAAAAATGAAGATGGCTTCCAAATTGAGAACAAGCAGAGCAATCTTCCCCAACTTCCTTAAATTTGCTACAGAAAATGCTGCAGAGCCGAAGAATGGTTGGAATTTCAGTCCTGAAGTAAACTGAACCGCTGCTGCGTGGATTGACTGCAGTTATCAACTCGGGGCCCTTCCCAGTTGCTGCGTCTGGGTTTAGAATCCCAGTCCGGATTCCATCACGTCTGTGGTCAGAGGCAGAACTACACATGTGTGCTGAAGAGCAATCAATTCTAACCGCACAAAAAAATATCCTAAGACGTTGACAACATTCAAACTTGCGGAGGCGCGACCTCCTGTGTGTGCTATGAAACTCTTCCATAGCAAGTATTATTATTAACATGATTATTATTATTATTAACACATGATATTATAGAATGGTGGAACAGGCTCGAGGGGCTAAATGGCCTACTCCTGTTCCTATGTTTCTATATAAGTAGCTGACAAACATATTGGGCCTTCTTCTCAGCCGAAGATAGCAGTATGGGAATGACGATCACAAAGAACTCTAGTGGCTTCAAGTTACCGCCAGTAAAACTGTCTGAAATGTGGACAACAACAACAAATTACATTTGTATAGCGCCTTTCATGTCAGAAGGGACATCCCAAGTCACTCCCAGGAATAATAACAAAGCCTTTCACTTACGGTGTTCAACAATTCCCCAGATAAAATTGGTCATTTGCTTTGTGGCTGTTTGTGGGGCACCACCACCAACAAATTTACATTTTTATAACTCCTTTCGTGTTGTGAGGACATCCCGAGGCTCTGGATTTGTTGTGTGCAAATTGGCTGCCATGTTTGCTTACATAGTCACTTGTCACTACAATTTACAGTATATCCTGTCAAGCGGTTTGAGAAGTACTCCCAACATGAAAGACGCTAGATCAAATGCGAGGTTTGCTATTATTTTTTAATTTGGATGCTGTCTTGTTGCACCTCTTAAAATTAACGCTAATTTTAAAGTTGTTGTGTTCAGCTTATTTAATATTTAACATTAAAAATGTTTAAAAAAAGTCTTCCTCCCGCCGTATCCCGAGATCCTACAAATCAAAGGCACGATGGTTGGCAAATTAGCTACCGCATTCACCTATTAAAATACACAGTCACTAGGAACATAGGAACCGAAGTAGGCCATTCAGCCCCTCAAGCCTGCTTTACCATTCTATAAGAGCATGCCTGCGCTTAACATTAAATCATGTGAAGTGTTTTACGGCATCTTGATGTGATAAGGGACGAAATCAAACACAAGGATTATTTAAGATGCTTCAGCATCTCTCTGCTCCCCATCCCCTTCCCGCTTACTGGTGTGTCCTCAATTCGTCTGGCAGATGCTCCAGAGAGCAATCTAAAGTGTCTGCTGCCTTGGCTGCCTTGGCTGCCTGCCTCGGTTTGGCTCACAGCTGTCTGGATGGAACACTGCACCATTTCTATGCTGATGCTTTGCACTGCTGCCCGTTCGTTCATAATTCCCCCCCTCTCTCTCTTTCTCTCCATCGCTCCCATCCTGAGTTCATCCATCTCGCCAATGCGCTACAAGCTCCCATTCTTCTAAAGGATTGTTTCTAAAGCGTCTCTCAAAGAATTCAAGATGACGCTTTTGGACACAGCGCAACAACAGTTACAAAGACTCCACCTGCCCTCAGAAACCTACCGCATCCGGACCGACCAAAGCAAACTTCCAACCAGGCTGCCTCCAGTGACAGACACTGAATCAGAGCTGTCGCCACAGAAACAACCTGTGGATTATCAGCATGTGGATAACTAGTATGCAGATAACAGGCATGTGGGTAATTGGTGTGCAGATAGCAGGCATGTGGTTAATTGGTGTGCAGATAACAAGCCTGTGGGTAAATTGGTGAGCAGATAACCATCAATCTACTTCATCACTTTACCACCTCCGTTTACCTAGCAGTAAGTAGGAACTTGGTTGTTAGTCAATAGGTGGATCACTTTTCCGAGGGTAATAATTCCTTCAAAAAAAATGATAAATTGGTCACTGTTTGTTTGTGTGCAATTGGCTGCCTCGTTTCACCCACAAAATATACAGTCAATTCACTTTACAGTATATTCTGTGAAGCACTTTTGAGACATGATGAGGCGCTATATCAAATGCAAAGAATATTAGATTATATACATCACAAAATGGCTAATTGACCTTTCCAAAAGTTGCCAATATGCAAGTTGGGAAAGGACAAGAATAATAAATAATAATAATCCTTGCATTTGATACAGCGCTTTTCACATCTTCTAGACGTCTAAAACACTTCAGAGAATATACTGTAATAATAATAATCTTTGCATTTGATATATTGCCTTATCAAGTCATTGAGATGTTTCAAAGCGCTTCACAGAATATATTGTAAAGTGGAGTGAAATACCATCTTAGACATGGCTGTTTTATTCTCTGCCTTTTTTTGACATGCAATGAATAATTTCTTGAGGCAGAATTAACACTGGTTCCACATCTACAGTCTTTGCAACCTTTGGCTGCAAGGCTTTTATCAGGACATTCAGAAAACTGCCCAGGAAAACACAAGACCGATCACGAGCTAGAAAGGTTTCAATTTCAAGCCAAACCATATGGGTCAATTTTCCTTTGAAGAGTGAGGTCAAAGTTGGTCTGATCTGGTGCGACGTATCGAACAGTTAAACATCTAACATAACAATTGTGAAAAACAGTGAAATATTTATTGTCTGTTTATTACGGACAATCCTAGAATAAGCACTCAAGGAAAAGACCATTATTCAGTATGTCAGCCTGGCTCAACTGGTAGCACTCTTGCCTCTGAGTCAGAAGGTTGTAGGTTCAAGACCTACATCATGAAGACTTGGAATTCATATAGTCTTAGATGAGACTCCAGTGCAGTGTGGGGGGTGTCAGAAGTGCTATACTTCGGATGAGATGTTAAATCTCCTGCATCGCTCGGCTCCCACCCCAACTCAAGTGTTTTCAGACATCCTCCTGATGTGGAAACGCTCTATATAAATACTGTAACTTGTATTATATCAGTGACTGATATCCATGTAGGGATCTCATGCTGAAGAAAGCAGACTGTAAAGTCCGACCCCTGCCAACAGGTGGCACTGTAGAACAGCCCTGTCAATGATTCAGGTCCCTGAAGTAAAATGCTGAGATATTACAAGTTATTTATACGACAACATTTCTATGATCCTGGAGTGGACCTTGGAATTCATGTATCTCGGCTGACACTCCAGCGCAGTGTTGGGGGTGTACTGCATTGTCAGACGTGCCATACTTCGGGTGAGATGTTAAACTGAGGTCCCATCTGCCTGTCTCCTGAATCAAATGTTAGGACTATTATTAATATTATATGTATCTGGTTCTTTACACCTGTTTTGTGTCTTTCTTGAGTTAGAATATAAGAACACAAGAATTTGCTAGGCGAAAGAAGACCAAGATCCATTTAGTTTGCCTTCCACCATCCTGGCAGTCGCTTGACATGTTGTGTCCCAAACTATATACCTTATCCCGAGATATTATTTTGATTGACTAAAATGGGTTAAAAAGAAACTTTCCCCCTTTGTTTCTCCATTACTGTAAACAGTGTTCCCAGGGCAGTCCCATTGCAAACGCACAAACCATGTGCCTGTGTTTGAACCTCCGAAGAGGGTCCTATTGCACACATATGGCTTTCCCAGTTCTCAACCCATCTGGTTTATTTTGCAGGTCAAGGGTTAATGATCGTATTTGCCCACGGGATTCTGCAGAAAGGAAGGATTGAATGCCCTAAATTCCTCACCAGTCGATTCACAGGATTCACTGCAAAGAACAGAGACTGTGTATTTAGTGCTTCGAGACGCAATCCTGCGTGAAGCAGGTTATATATAAACGCCAGCTGCTGTTCTTCTATTTTGTAGGCGACTTCACAGTAAATCCTGTGAGGTGCTTTGAGGGCTCCTCCCAATGTTAAAGTCGATCTCAGGTTAGCACAGAGCAGGGAAAAGATGAGGCAATCCCAGGCTCTCGATTTGGAGAAAATTGAAGAAAAACCAAAGATGAACATCAATCATTAGTGATTAAAATCTACGAACAAGTGGGAAACTCAGAGCTAAACCATCCCACGACTGGCTGCCGCGTTTCGCCGCCAAAATATTTGACAGTATATTCTGTGAAACGCTTTGAGACGTCTCGAAGACACGATAAGGCGCTATATCAAATGCAAGGATGATTATTATTATTATCGATCACATATTGCAGGCGAGATAGCAACAACTTACTGATCCCATCGAAGAGCTCTGCGACATTGATGGCATTTTTGGCGCTGGTTTCGACAAAGATGCCGTTGATTGTCTTCGCATATTCCAGGGCGTCTTTGACCGGAACCTCTCTGTAACAACAAACAGCAGCACCTCACTCAGGGTTCAGTCCATCAGCAACAGGTTGGCCACCAACCGAGGGAGCTAAAAAGGTCACGTTTACAAAACGCTCCCAGATACTGGAGGCTCAAAGTCAGTCAGGGCTCCTTTCTGTATCTGACCTTCCAATAACCATGAACGTTCAATAAACAGATGTCTTTCCTCTCTTTGTTACCTCTTCATCGCGTCTATGCTCCTATGCAATGGCGGTGGCCCGTACCTGATCTTCTCCAACCCCTCCCCCCAACACACACACCCTTTGCTGTGAAGGTGGAATCAATGAGGATGTTTAATAGTGGGGCGAGGCCAAGGAGGGATTTGAACACAGTTACTGCACGTCACAGTAAATCATGTGAAGCACTTTGAGGCATCCTCCTGACGCTAAAGAGCAGTAAACCCAAGGATTGGGAGGGCTTCACAGACCAACAAGGAAAAACTAAGAAACAGATTAGGAGGGAGAAAATGGATTATGAGGGCAAACTAGCTGGGAACATAAAGACAGACTGCAAGAGTTTTTACAAACATACAAAGAGGAAGACTAGCAAAAGTGAATGTGGGTCCATTACAGGCAGAGACAGGAGGAATTATAATGGGGGATAAGGATATGGCAGAGTCATTAAGCAAATACTTTGCTTCTGTCTTCACGTTAGAAGACATTGAAAACTTAACAAAAATAGAGGGGAACCAAGAAGTTAATGTTAGTGAGCAACTTAGGGAAATAACAACAGTAAAGAATTAGTACCAGGGAAACTGTTGGGATTGAAAAATGACAAATCCCCTGTACCTGATGGCCTGCATCCTGGAGTTTTAAAAGAGGAAGCTGCTGAGATAGTGAATACCTTGTTTTTGATCTTCCAAAATTCTCTGGATTCTGGAACAGTTCCCATTGATTGGAAGATCGCAAACGTAACACCACTATTTAAGAAGGGTGGGAGAGAGAAGATGGGGAGCTATAGACCAGTCAGTCTGACATCGGTGGTAGGGAAAATTCTAGAATCCTTAATTAGGGACGTCGTAGTGGGGTACTTAGAAGCCCATAACATGATTAGGCAGAGTCAACATGGCTTTACAAAAGGTCATACTTAACAAATCTTTTAGAGTTTTTTGAGGATGTAACTAGCAGGTTAGATAGGGGGGAACCAGTAGATGTAGAATATTTAGATTTTCAGAAGGCGTTTGACAAGGTGCCACATAAAAAGCGACTACACAAGATTAGGGCCCATGGAATTAAAGGCAATGTAATAGCATGGATCAAAGAGTGACTAACAGGAAGAAAACAGAGAGTAGAGATAAACGGATCCTTCTCAGATTGGCGGGATGTGACTTGTGGAGTGTCACAAGGATCAGTGCTTGGGCCTCAACTATTTATAATCTATATCAATGATCTAGACGAGGACATAGAACTTAAAAGTTTGTGGCGTCCTGTAGCTCAGTGGTTAGAGCGCTCGCCTTGCAAGCGAGACACCTAGGTTCAATTCCAGGCAGGGCGAAACCTTGGGCAAGATTCCTTACTCCACACGCTTAATAATAATCCCTCCAAAACAAAACAATAATAAATTGGTCATTTTCAATCCACGACTGTTTGTGGGACATTGCTGTGTGCAATTGGCTACCATGTTTCGCCCACAAATATATGGTCAATTCACTTTACAGTCTATTCTGTGAAGCGCTTTGATACGTCGAGAAGACATGAAAAGCGCTATATCAAATGCAAGGATTATTATTATTATAAATTATCTAAATTTGCAGATGATACTAAGCTAGGTGGGAGAGTAAGCTCTGAGGATGACACAAAAAGATTGCAAAGGGATATAGACAGGCAAGGGGAGTGGGCAAGAAGGTGGCAGATGGAATATAATGTGGGGAAGTGTGAAGTTATTCACCAAGGTAGTAAAAACAGAAAAACAGATTATTTTCTAGAAGGGGAGAGACTAGATAGTGTTAGTGTTCAGAGAGATTTAGGTGTCCTTGTATACCAGTCACAAAAAGTTAATGTGCAGATACAGCAAGCAACTAGGAAGGCTAATGGCATGTTGGTGTTTATTGCAAAAGGGTTAGAATACAAGAGTAGGGAAGCCTTGCTGCAAGTATATAAGGCCTTGGTGAGACCACACCTAGAATATTATGTGCAGTTTTGGTCTCCTTGTTTAAGAAAGGACATACTCGCCTTAGAGGGGTGCAGCATAGATTCACTAGGTTAGTTCCTGGGAAGAGGCGGTTGACCTATGAGGATAAGTTGAGTAAACTAGGCCTATATTCTTATAGAAATATATAAGATTCTTATGTGGCTTGACAGAGTAGACAGTGTGAGACTGTTTCCGCTGGTAGGAGAATCTATAACTAGGGGTCACAGTCTTAAGATTAAGTCGGCCTTTTCAAACAGAGTTGAGGAAACACTTCTCTCACTTCACTCAGAGGATAGTGAATTTATGGAATTCTCTACCCCAGAAGGCTGTGGCTGCTCAGTCCTTGAACATATTCAAGACTGAGGTTGATAGATTTCTAAGGGATAGAGGGATTAAGAGATATGGGGGTAAGGTGGGCAGATGGAGTTAGGTTAGAAGATCAGCATGATCTTATTGAATGGCGGGGCAGGCTTGAGGGGCTGAATGGCCTACTCCTGCTCCTAATTCCTATGTTTCTATGTAAAGGCGCTACACTAAACGCAAGGATTACTGTTAATAACTTCCAGCTACTGACCTCATGTCTGAGAGGTCGCACTTGTTCCCAGCGATTGCCACCACAATGTTCTCAGGCCCGTGTTCCTTCAGCTCCTTCACCCACTTCTTCAGAGTGTAGAAGGACTCCTGAGTCAAAAACACACGGTGAATAGGATCCCACCAAACACAAAGTTAAACACAGGCTGTTTCCTCACAGTCTGTCAACTTGATCAAAGTCATAATAATAAGAAAAATAGCCACATGGCCAAAAAATGTTTATTTTCATTTTGCGCTCTTCTGTTACTCTCTCCTCTCATTTGGGTCCCTGCACCTCTCTGGATGGAGACCCAAAGAGAGAAACACGGAGGGGGAACTGAACAAGTTTCTAGTAACCATAATATTTGGCCAAAGTAATACTGGGAGTTACTGACATCCTCATTATCATACGTACCATCCCTCAGATTAAGGCATTGAACTGATGTCTCGTGACATTCCAGGTGGATGTTTAAGATCCCACGGCACTACTCTGAATTGTAGTTTACAAATTGCAGGCAGAAAACTGACTCCATTTTTCAGTATATCCTGTGAAACACTTTGAAATATTTTGACGATGTGGTAAGGTGCCATTTGAAATACAAGGATTCATTTAAGAATCCTATGACTGGGAGATTTGCTCTGAAGACATTTAGTGTGAATTCTATGTATGTTTCTAGTAAACTTATAATAATAGTGAAGCCTTATTGTAAACAATAATGATCCACACATTTGGTATAGCATCTTTCACGTTGGGAGGAGGTCCCAAAGCGTTTCACAGGATATAATCTAAAGTGGAGTGACTGTTTTGTGGGTGAAGTGCGGCTACAGTTTTGCACACTGCAATGTCCCACAAACAGCCCTGACATGAGTAACCAATTTTATTTGGAGGATTATTAGCCAGGACATCAAGAGAAAATCACTTTCCGAATAGTGCCATGGGATCTTTCACATCCAAATGAATAGACACATGAGGTTTCATTTAGCGCTTATTTGAAGGGGAAGCAGGGTGATCGAAAGCAGTCGAGGAGGAGGGTCTTGAGATAGATCTTGAAGGAGGAAGGGAGGGGTTGAGGCGGAGGGACTGCAGGACGGAGTTCCAGAGGGTGGGAGCAGAGTGGCAGAAGGCCCGCCCGCCAATGGTGGGACAGGTGAGGTGGGGGACATGAAGCAGGCCGGAGCCCGCTGAGTAGAGGGAGCGGGCAGGATGGTAGTGGGTTAGGAGGTCGGAGAGGTAGTGGGGAGCGAGGCCATGGAGGGGTTTGAAGGTGAGGACCAGAATCTTGAACTGTATCCTCAGTGTGATGGGAAGCCAGTGGGATTGGGCAAGGAGGGGGGTAATAGGGTCAAAGAACCTGGTGTGGGAGAGGACACGGGCTGCAGAGTTCTGGATGATCTGCAGCCTTTGGAGGGAGGAGTTGGGGAGGCCGACAAGCAAGGACTTTGCAAAGTCAAACCTCGATGTTATGAATGCGTGTATGAGGGTTCATACACACATACCTTACATTTGATAGCATCAAACAATGCTATATCAAATGCAAGACTTATTATTATTGTTATTATCCATAAAAGCGTCCTGGCAAGCTTACCTCGTTGGTGATGTCATAAACTATCACAGCAGCAGCAGATCCTCGGTAATACATGGGAGCCAAGGAATGAAACTGCAGAGGGGGCGATAAAAGACAAAATAAAGAAAAATAGAGGAAAAGATACACCAAATAACTCAGAGCATGCATTTCATCCAGTTGCCCTCCGAGGTGACCTCGTGGTCAGCCTGTTGCACGTTCTGAACGCTGTTTATCGAAAGACATTTTGCACTTTTAAAATTCATTTTGTTGCCAGATTTTTCTTGTTTCCCTTTCACTTTATGAGGAGCTGACTTCGCATAAAGGAGGTTTGGGTGAAGAAAGCCCTTCGGCACATTCGGTCAGCCTTGAGAGAGGATGTCCCAGAAGGACCTCATAGAGTTATATAAGATTTTAAATGAGGTTGAATAAGTAAACTAGGAACAATACAATAGAATGCACTAAGACAGTGGAACATGAGGACAAAGATATAGAGTTGCAAAAGAGCAATTTCAGGACAGACACCGGGAAGTTTTTCTTTACCCAGAGGGTAATTAACAACTGAAACATGTTGCCAGAAATTTTGACTGAAGCCAAGTCACTGGACTCGTTTTACAAACAGCTTGATTGATGTGATTGTGGTAGGGTGGGGGTTCTTGGAGGGATGAGATCAGATGGGCCGAAGGACCTTCTTCATCCAATCAACACCAACAACAAGATTACATTTGTATAGCGTCTTTCACGTCAAGAGGACGTCCCAAGGCGCTGGACAGTGTACAGCATTTCAGACCCGAGCTGGGGTTGGGGGGGTGGGGGAAGGGAGGGGAGGGGAAGGGGGGTGGCTGATGGCATGGTCGAAGAGGAGGGTCTTGAGGCGGGACTTGAAGGAGGTGAAGGAAAACCCGAGGCGGAGTGACTGGGGGATGGAATTCCAGAGGTTGGGGGCAGAGTGGCTGAAGGCTCTCCGGCCAATGGTGGGCAGGTGGGTCGGGGGACGTGGAGCAGGTCAGAGCCAGCTGAGCGGAGGGATTGGGTGGGTTGGTAGGGGGTTAGGAGGTCGCAGAGGTAGGGTGGGGCGAGGCCATAGAGGGCTTTGTATGTGAGGACCAGGATCTTGAACTGGATCCTGTGAAGGATAGGGAGCCAATGGAGTCAGGAGAGTGGGGGAGATGAGGTCACGTAGTTTGGTGCAGGGGAGGACAAGGGCTGCGGAGTTCTGGATTATCTGCAGCCTGTGGAGGGAGGAGTTGGGAAGGCCGACAAGCAGGGCGTTTGCATAGTCGAGTCTGGAGGTGATGAAGGCATGAACAAGAGTTTTAGTGGCCTGAGGGGTGAGGTAGTGGCGGAGTCGGGTGATGTTATGGAGGTTGGGGAAGGCAGAGTGGGTCACGGCTTGGATGTGGGGAAGAAAAGACAGTTGAGGGTCGAACAAGACACCTAGGTTCCTGACTGGCTGGTGAGTTGTAGTGTGCAACCATGGAGGTTGATGCTGCCAGAGCCTGAGGTGCTGAGGCGCTGGCGTGAGCCAATCAGGAGGGCCTCAGTCTTGTTCACATTCAACTGTAGGAAATTTGCCCTCATCCAGGACTTGATGTCCGACAGGCAGTCTGTCAGGACAGCAGTGGTCCTGGAGTTGAGGGTGGAGGCAGAAAGATAGAGTTGGGTGTCATCCGCATACATATGGAAGTTGACCCCATGTCTGCGGATGATGTCACCAAGGGGGAGCGTGTAGATATTAAAGAGGAGAGAGCCAAGGACAGAATCCTGGGGGACACCAGATGTGACAGTGCGGGGGCTGGAGGAGAAACCATTAGAGGCAACGAAGTGGAGACGGTGAGAGAGATAGGAATCGAACCAGGCAAGAGCAGATCCGTGAAGATTGAGTAAAGCGGAGAGGCGGAGTACAAGGATGGGGTGGTCGACAGTCTCGAAGGCGGCAGAGAGGTCGAGGAGGACAAGGAGGCAGAGGGAGCCCTGATCACAGATGTTCAGAGGATCATAAGTGACTTTGACCAGGGCTGTTTCCGTGCTGTGGGCAGTGTGGAAGCCAGATTGGAGGGGTTCAAAGAGGGAATGGCGAGAGAGAAAAGAGTGGAGCTGGGACATGACGACTCGAACCTTGGAGAGGAATGGGAGGTTAGAGATGGGGTGGTAGCTGGAGAGGAGGGATGGATCCAGAGAAGGTTGATTCAGGATGGGGGTGATGACGGCTGTTTTTAGGGGGTGGGAACTGAACCGGTGGACAAGGAGAGTTTGATGACATCGGACAGGAGAGGGGCCAGAAGGTGGAGCTGGGAGATGAAGAGGAAGGTGGGGATGGGATCGAGGGAGCAGGTGGTGGGTTTGAGTTTGCGGACAGTCGTGGTGAGGGAGGAGGGAGAGATAGGGTCGAAGGAATATAGTGGGGGATGGGTGGGGGGTGGTGGGTCATGAGGGAGAGGTGATGTCCCAAGGCGTCTCAGCGCCTTGGGACGTCCTCCTGACGTGAAAGGCACTCTATAAATGGAATCTTGTTGTTGTTGTTGATGTGGGGGTGGCTGAGATGGCTGAACGTATCCCCTCGATTTTAGATCAATCTTGTGATCTCATTCTCCCAGATCACCCACCCTCCTGCTTTTCCATTGCAGCATTGTACTGCTTCTTAAAATGCTGCTCAGTGACCCAGCTTAACCACCCTTCCTGGTAACCCCTGTTCCAGTCGTTAGTTACTCTGTGTGTAAGAGTAACGCTCTTGTTCTGCTGCCTCAGCATTTTCAAAAAGTGCCTGAAACCTACAGTGAAGTACCAGCCCAGATGCAGTTTCCACCATCATTAATCATGCGTCAGCCTGGCCGTCGAGTAGGGGCTTACGTAGCAGAACCTGGTCATGTCCTCAACCCACACCCACAGGAGCTTACTTTCCAGTAAAGAAAGCCTGCACAGACACTAACAGTACTGGCTCCTCTGCTCTAGGTATGATGGGGGAGGTCAGTACACTGGAGAAGTGCTGGCCAAACACCAGGAGATGCTTTCTTCTCTTTCTGAATAGTGTCAGGGGATCCTTAACATCCATCCACACATAATAGTAATAATAATAATAATAATAATCCTTGCATTTGATACAGCGTTTTTTCACATCTTCTAGACGTCTCAAAACGCTTCACAGAATCGACTATAAAGTGAACTGACTATATCTGTGGGCAAAATGTAGAAGCCAATTGTACACAGCAGTGTCCCATAATAGTGGATTGAAGTGACCAATTCTATTATTCTCAGGAGGCAAGGGATGAATTCTCACGCTTTATTACATCGAGGCTTGACTATGCAAACTCCTTGCTTGTTGGCCTCTCCAACTCCTCTCTCCATAGGCTACAGATCATCCACTCTGCAGCCCGTGTCCTCTCCCGCACAGGCTCTGTGATCCTATCACCCCCATCCTCGCCCGACTCCACTGACTTCCCATCACACAGAGGATACAGTTCAAGATCCTGGTCCTCACCTTCAACGCCCTCCATGGTCTTGCTCCCCCTACCTCTGTGACCACCTAAAACCTTACCATCCTGGTTGCTCTCTTCGCTCAACGGGCTCCGGCCTGCTTCACGTTCCCAGCCTCGCTCGCCTCACTATTGGCGGGCAGGTTTTCTGTCACTCTGACCCCACCCTCTGGAACTCCATCCTGCACTCCCTCCACTTCGCCCCCTCCCTTGCCTCCTTCAAGACCCATCTCTTCGACCATGCTTTCGATCTCCCTGCTTCCCCACCTGTCCTCCATCCTCCCCAATCCCAACCCCCAGCTCAGGTCTGAAATCTGTCGGCCCATCCATCCAATTGGGACCTCCTCCCGACATGAAAGGCGCTTTATAAATGTAATTTTGTTGTTTTTTTATTGGCTTCTTTTGAAGGATTATTATCAGGCGTGTGGAGTAAGGAAACTTGCCCTGCCGGGAATCAAACCCAGGTCTCTTGCATGCGAGGCGAGTGCTCTAACCACTTGCATCCAAAGAAGACCCTTCGGCCCATCCATCCAATTGCATCCTTCTAGAACACCCAACTGATCGATTTGTCCCCCCAACACAGCATCAAACTGGTTGCCACACGAGACCTTGCATCTACCTCTTATCCCAAGGACAGCACATCTACTAATGTTCAGCGAATTCCCCCCAGTGCTGCACTGGGATTTCCAGCCATGTGCTCATAAACCCGATGTGTGATTTAAACCCATGACTTTGTGGCACAGAGGTGAGAGCTCACTATCACAACTAGGCCAGTGTGACACCTAACTAACTATCGTTATTCCCCAAATAAATGACCAGGTCAATAATAATAACCTTGCATTTGATATAGCACCTTATCACATCTTTGAGACATCTCAAAGCGTTTCACAGGATATACTGTAAAGTGAAATAACTATGTGTTTTGTGAGTGAAACGCAGACAGCCAATTGCACCAAGCAGTGTCCCACAAACAGTGGTGGATTGAGTTACCAAATTATTATTATTTATGGATTCATTTATTTATTAGAAGGGATTATTCCCCCCAGAAACCGTTCCTCCAATCCACTAACAACCAGGTTCCTACTTACTGCTAGGTAAACAGAGGCTTGTGGAGTAAAGAAACTTGCCCAAAGTTTCGCCCTGGGAATCAAACCCAGGTCTCTCGCTTCCGAGGCGAGCGCCCTAATAACTAAGATACAGGACTCCATAATGCGGTAGTCTCAGGGCTATGGGATGTGGTGCAATGTTGATTCCAGGGCTTTGCAGAGAGATTGACAGGGAATGTTCAGTAGCTCAGTACTGGGAGAAACTGTACTGACAATTTTAAGATCAAAATTCCATCCACGTCTATTTTAGCCTGTAAGGCCATTTCCAAACTCTCAAATCCATCTTTAATTTTCGCCCACAAAATATACAGTGAATTCGCTTTACAGTATATTCTGTGAAGTGCTTTGACACGTCTCAATTACGTGATAAGGCACTATATGAAATGCAAGGATTATTATTATTAGATTATAATTAATATTAATTTGGAAGCTGGTTTCTTTTTAAGAAAAGCGGGGGGGGAAAAAAACAACTCGTAAAGTAAGAGTGAATTCAAGAACTTTGTTCAATTCAGCATGA